TTTGCCCCCCCCCCCCCTGGAAAATACCCTAGTTCCGGCCCTGGGTCAGATGTTTCAAAAATGAAACTTGTTTCAAATAGATTTCAATGCACTGAATTCAAATATGTGAAAATATTTTTCTATCACGTACAGTTTTTTCTTAATTCCAAATAAATGGTTTTAGAAATTATTGCTAATAACATAAAGCAAGGAATAATACAAGACATTTTGGATGCAAAATATTTTTCCTTAATATTTGACTGCACTCCGGATATCAGTCACAGCGAAAAATGACACAAGTAGTTCGTTGCGTCAAAAAAGATACAACTGAAATAGAAGAATGTTTTATTGATTTTTTTAAAGTTAGTGTCAAAACAGGTGAAGGTCTCAGTCAAGAAATTTTGAAAAAATTAGATGCAGATGGACTTAACCTGGAGAATTGTAGGGGGCAATCCTATGACAATGGAGCAAATATGGCTGGAAAATATAAAGGAGTCCAGTCCAGATTATTGCAGAAAAACCATCTGGCATATTTTGTTCCATGTGCTGCACACTCTCTCAATTTGGTTGGTGCTGATGCAGCTAGTGCTACTGTCCAGGCTCAGAATTTTTTTGGAACTTTGAACAGCCTGTATTCTTTTTTTGCACTTTCAACTTCACGTTGGGAAGTTCTCAAAGAAAATGCGCCGATAACATTAAAACCTGAAAACAAAACAAGATGGTCTGCAAGATTAGATGCAGTCGAAGCTGTATATAAACATTATAGTAAAGTTCTACAGACTCTAGAAGATCTTAAAAACTATGATTTCTCAACTCCTCAAACTGTGAATGAAATATTCAAAAACTTGAATTTATCGTGATGGTTAGATTTTGGCATGCATTGTTAGAAAAGATTAACCAAGTAAACGAATTTTTACAAAAAAAAGATTTAACAGTTGATTTGGCTGCCCGAAACCTCAAAGGTCTTTTGACACTTATAAAGTCTTGCAGAGAGTCTGCACCAGCTGAGGCCATTGCTGAGGGTAAATTGTTAGCAAAAATAAATAATCTAACATCTGCATTTTCAGAAAAGAGACCAAGAATGAAAAGAAAAATGGCTGATGAATTGTGCAATGATGAAGCTCTGACAAGTGTTGAAAATATGTACCAAGTGACTATGTTAGAAATCATTGACAGAGTGATTACAGAACTTAGTGTCAGATTTGAATCTTTGAATAATGTAAACAGTATGTTTGGGTTTTTGAGTGGTGTTAAAATTGAAGAAATGCAGATCTAAAAATTAAAGCCGAAAATTTGGCAAATATATACTCAGCTGATCTCAACATTGATGAATTCATGTTTGAAATAGAAAGTTTTAAGCATCACGCTTTGACAGTTGACAAAAGTTTAAAAAAAGCCACATCAAAAGAAATGCTAAGTCTCATTTATAAAAATAAATTAGAAGAAGGCTACCCTAACATCACTACTGCATTGAGAATCTTTCTCACGTTGCCTGTCACAGTGTCATCTGGAGAACGAAGTTTCAGTAAACTCAAAATCATCAAAAACTACATGAGAAGTACAATGGGACAGGGGAGACTTTCCAATTTAAGCATAATTTCAATTGAACACAAACGAGCATCTCTTATCAATTTTGATGATATAATCAATACATTTGCAGCTAAAAAAGCTAAAAAGATTTGTTTCTAATATAATATAATATAATATACGAAACAATTACTTGATAAGTTGACAAATGACATTGTTTGTAATACAAAGTTTTTCAATTTTTCACGTTTTATAACTATAATATAGTTGTTTTTTTCTATGTCAAGTATCTGTGTTAACATGTATATTGATATGTCCATAAATAAAACATTTTATTAAGAAATGTGTAATATGTAATTTAAAAAAATGCATTTATACACCTTACGGTAGTAGCATAATAACGTCGTGAGGGGGGGGGGCGGCACACTGATTTTTGCCCCCCCCCCTGGAAAATACCCTAGTTCCGGCCCTGGGTCAGATGTTTCAAAAATGAAACTTGTTTCAAATAGATTTCAATGCACTGAATTCAAATATGTGAAAATATTTTTCTATCACGTACAGTTTTTTCTTAATTCCAAATAAATGGTTTAAAACATCATATAACTAAAATACATTACATAATCCAGATAACGTCTGATATTTCAATGATATTATTATCTAGTATTTATGTGCATGTATCTGTATATAGATTCATTACTCACATGGACAATGTTACATAAACACAGATACACATAAGTATATGAAATTACTTATATAATCAAAATCTAGGCCTGTCCATTTATTAAAATAAATTCATAATTTATTTGTATTGAAATTTCTGTTCATTTTAATTCATTTGATTTAACATGGCTATGGCTACTTTTTCGAGTTTCAAAAGATGTTTGAATTCTACAAATTCATTTTGTCATATTTGTGGAAGAAACGTGCCTCAGAAGTAAGGATCTAATGGATTTGTGAAAAAATTTATCATGCATATTTCAAAATAAAATTAGGTGACCAAGATAAACCATGAGCACCTACGCAGGACATGTGTAGAAGAACTAAGAAGTTGGAGCAGAGGTTTGAAAACTTCTTTAAATTTTGGAATTCAAATGATTTGGCGTGACCAAAAAATCATTTAAAAGATTGTTTTTTCAGCATGCTAAACAGCAAAGGTTTTAACAACAAGAATAAAAAAGATTTATCACATCCTAATTTGCCTTCAGCATTTGCAATCAGTACCTTCATGAGGTACTGAGACCAGTACCTCATGAAGATGACATTCCTGTTCGGATACCAATTGTCATAGCAAAAGTTTTACCAAATGATGAATCAAGTATGACGATGTTGGTGAAACTGATAGACAATTTTTTACTTAGCAATTCAGATTCTAGAGGAGCATTTTTTCAGGTTGACTTTGAAATTTCAATTTATCAAAAATTTCATCAGAATTACTGGGAGTCACGTTTAAAGGTTAAGAATTTACAACTTTTTCATGATATAGAAATCGTGAAGCAAAATTTATTAATCTTTTTTGAAAAGTTGATTCCCTTGTATATTGTTCAAATATACCTGGATTGATAACTGAGTTGGGAGTTATGTATGATGCCAATAAACGGAAAAATTTTATTGACTCTTCCAAACGATGTTTCAAAGCAGTTCTTTTGCATACTGGAAATATTTATGCATCTGTGCCAATTGCATATTTTATTCAATTGAAAGAAACTAATGACAACATGGGGGTGTTTCATGAAAAGCATAAGTGTAAGCATAAGTGGTTGATAAGTGGTGATATCAAAATAATAATTGGAATTATTTTGAGAGGCGAGGAGGTTATACTAAACTTTCATGTTTTTTATGTGAGTTGGATAGCAGGACAGATAAAGATCACTTGCAAATGGAATGTTAACACCATGACGGAATATTGTTGGATGCTGAAAAGGGAGAATTTGACGGCTAAAGAATATGGAAGAAAATCAAGAAGAAGTTTATGTCCTTAATTTGAAATTTTATGTACATTACATTTTATTAATTTTTTGTAAGAAAATTAAATAATTATTATTTTGAACAAATTATTTTGTAAATAATAGGGAAGATAGAAAAATAGGTAAAAAATAAAAATGTTAAAATTGAATTTGTGAAAAATTCTGACATGATAGAAATATTTCACGTACATATTTGAAATCAGCGTGTTCGAATTATGTTAGAACAATTAAAATACTCAAGATATCTAAAAATTTTTTAATGCATTACCTATTATCAATTTAATCAATCAATCAATCTTCGTTTAGAATCCAAAAACCCGGTTCCCCCGAGGTAGGACGTTGTTTTGTATGCCATCACTTTTTTGCGCCAAATTAGACGATCAGTTGTATCCATTCATTTAAATTTAGAGCTTTTATGTCTTGCTCAATTGTTTGCTACCAGGACTTTTTTGGGCGGTCTTTGGGACGTGTGCCAGGTACTTCAACATCTGCAAGAGAAGTTATGGCACTGTTTCCACTTCGTTTGACATGACCAAACCACCGCAGACGGTGTTGCCGGCATTCGTCCTTTATATCATCTAAACCAGCACGACGCAGGATTTCGGTATATTTGATGTGGTCCTTCAGACTAATTCGTTGCATCCATAGGAGCATTTTCATGTCGGTTCGTTGAAGTTGTTGTTCCAGTTTGGTTGTCATTGGCCATGTTTCTGCACCATATAACAACACCGGACGTATCACAGATTTATAAAGTATTGATCGTAGTAGTAGTGGGATATCACGTCGCATCAATATAGAGGCCAGGAGATGCCATTTATTCCAGGCAGCACGTATGCGTGCTCGAACGGCAGCTTTAGCTGTTCCTGTACAATCCAGAACATCTCCTAGATATTGAAACGATGTGACTTTCTCTACCTTAGTGGCTTCAAAAACATTGTTATTTCGTATTTGTTGTTGTGGATTGATGCAAGCAGGACAAACAAAATTGGACACTTTAGATGAAGTACCAATTATTTTTGAACAACGTTTGTGACACCACTGGTAACATTGCTGACACTTGATTGAATTGTTACCTACACCAGCTTTACAAACTGAACAGGGCCATCGTTGGGTTTGCTTTGGTTTTGCTGATGTTGACTTTGAATCCATGATCGGCGAGTCTGGTGTTTCAATCTTCAAACATCTGTGCTGCACTCTGCTCAGACGTGGCTGTTAAAACGATATCATCAGCATAAATTAGATTCCAATGTCACCAGTGGCTTTGTGATTTCTTCCATCACAGTTATAAATAACAGTTGACTGAGAATCGAGTCTTGGTGAACTCCAACGCCGATTTCAAATGCATCTGTGTTTCCAACCGTTGTGCTGACGAGAGTCTTAGTATTCGTATACATTTCCATCGAACAAGATATTCTGGAATGAGTTGTCGACGTGACTCCACCTGTGTTCTGACAGACGTATACCCCGATATGATGAACAGTTCAATGGATCACCTTGCCTTTGTATAGCGGAACTGTCATGCTATAGTTCCATTCAGTCGGCATTGAGCACTTTCTCCACACTTCACAGAAAAATTGTAGTAACGTTTGGATACCTGCAGTACCAGATGCTTTGATAATGTCATTTGTGAGTCCAGAGAGCCCTGCTGCCTTTCCATCCTTCATATTTTTCAGAGCTCCTCTACAGTGTCAGGAATCGGACCTTCGATGGGTGGAGCGTCAAAGTTAACATTAATGGGATTTGTTTCATTTAACAGACGGTTGAAGTATTCTCTCCACTGTAGTTTGATCTCGTCTTGTTCAAGAACCATTTTTGTCGTTTTTGATACTATGTCTTTTTTCGTACGCTTTGCTTGTTTTGCTATACGATACAGAGATTTCATTTGTTCATCTTTGCTTTTAGTGAGTAACTCTCTGCACTGATCTGTCCGAGCCAATGCGACTTGACGCCTTGCATAGTTGTTCTTCTCACGGAAAATTTCATGGTCATCTACAGACTTTGATTTTTGCCATTGCTTGTATGCAACTTTCTTTTCAGCTATTGCATTTTGTACACTGTCATTCCACCACCATGTTCCGTTCATGCTGACGTTTTGTACCAGTTTTCCCACAAACTGTAGTTGCAGCGTTTATCAAAACGGTTTCATATGTACTCCAATCTGTACCGGCTTGCGATTGGTGGTCTAACTGTGTGGCGACAATCTGTTGAAATTTTTCTCGATGAAACTTTTCAGCGTCCACGTTTTGATTCTCCGAAGCATTTGTTGGGCGACACATGATTCGCCAGGTATAACTGACATTTTTGAATAGCCTTTTCAAAGATAACGGTCTACAATTTAGGTAATCAGTTAATGATTTAGGTTAATTTAACTTGGCGATAAAATTTTCCTTTTCAAAAGTTTGTAAAGTTAAATTATTGTAAATTGCTGAATTTTTGCTATAACTCTGATTGTGGCTTTAAATTGAATCTTGAATAATTTTTCAAAACATAATGAATGTGTTTTTAAATTGTGGTTAACAAATGAATAACTATTTAAAAAAGTAAGATTGACAAAACTAACTGAATCAAGAAAGTCTTCATTTTTAGCTGAGAAATTATAAGATGTATCAGTATAAAACTTTGTGGTGGCGAACATTGATGACGATGAGGATGTTGGAAGTGGGGGTGAAAATAGAGATAAAAAATACGGCGAAAAAATAGAAGTTTGCCCAGATATCACATTAGAAGTGTTGTTAATTAACGTTGACTGTTCAATAGATGCAAAACAAGTGTCACACATTCCTGAAACGTAAATAAAATGATAAATAATGACAGCTTCTAATATTTATTCATTTTTATTTTTAAAACATATATATAACATATAAAACATATATTATATATATATATAATATTAATATATTAATGTTATATATATATAATATTAATATATTAATGTTATATATATATATAATATTAATATATTAATGTTATATATATAATATTAATATATATATATTAATATTATATATATATTAGTTTGAATGAATGTTTATAAAAGAGAAAAAAACAAAATAAACATTACTTTTGTTACTTTATGCAACAATTCAACTAAGTTAAACAAAATGAAAGAATATGAGTTTAAAAAACCTATGTTTATAGATGATATAGCATAACTGACTCTCGGATGAAAAGTCGCAACGTTCCATGAGAACTGACCAGAAATATCTCGTAATAAAAAATTACAAAATGATGTTGACTGTTTAATTGAGTCCACTTGACGTTCTTCAATACTCTAAATTATATAATTCAAATTCATAATGACGAATATTCATGTTTTTTTTTACTTCAATATTCAAATTTTAAAGAATAACATTTTTTTAGCTCTTCTATAATGCGAAGATAAAATTAATGTTAAGAAATGTTAAATAAAATATAACTCGTTTTAAAAATAACATTGAAAGAATAACATTAAATTAATAGCATGTAGATACCATAAATAATTTATGGTAATAATGTTTAACAACTAATAAAAGTTTTAATAAAATAACAAATTAATTTTTAAATCAATTAATATAGAGAAATTGTGTTATTTTCTAGTTAAACCGGTCGTAGAGTACGAATTTAAGAAAAATTAGATTTAACATTATAAAAAAGTATTTCTAGGAAAAAAACATTGTACATAAACTCCCTGGACATAAACCTCCCTGAAAAATATCCCCGAATCAAAACCCCAATAACAAAATTTAATTTAAATATAAAATCATTAAATTATTTTAAATATTTTTTAAACAGCATTATATATAGAAAAGCTAAACTTATTAATTTATCCATTAAACAATTTTTGTATCAGTATATGTGACCTTCAAAGCAATATTCAGAATAAGGATATTTTTTTCATAACTGGCAATTTTCATTACAATTATAATAATATTTCGCGGTTGGATTTGTACAGCGTTTCATTATAATTGACTTCAGAGGTGCAATCGTATATATTTTCGCTGTTGAAAGTGGAAATAATAATTTTTCAGACCGTTTCTCGAAGCTTCTTCGATTTATTAAATTCAATTTTGTATATATCAAGATATCACATTTTAAGATATCACCGTATTGGTACTGAATTTCTGAGACTGAGTGAATTTGTTTCCTCCAGCCTTACGAGAGCTAGTTTGTCATCCTTTCTGGCATAAAAAACAGCGTAGCTCATCCCTGATGATATCGGCATATGGGATCAAACTTAGCAACCAGTCTGGTAGCTGATTTCGAAACAGTGAACACAAAATGCCGCTGCGATAGGTTGATCCCATACATCAAGATCGTGCATAAATATTTTAATTAAACTTAAAAATCGTTTATTGAGTTTTAGAATTTTATAATTTCTTACATTGAATTTTTCCTAAAAAATTTTGTACGGAGAGAATTTGTACGGTAAGTTTTGTCTGGGAGTTTTTCCAATTTTTTTTGTCTGGATGTGATTTACTCAAAGATTTTGTCTTATCACGCTAAGAAGGAAAATGTTAAATAAAAAAAGAACCTTTTTGGAATCAAAAGATGGGGCCTCCACGACTGAAAGCATTGAGTTGGTGTTTAAAACGAAAAACTGTTTAATATAAAAAATATTAAAACAGCATGAAAAAATCAAATTATTTTTAGCAAAAATATTTCATAATAATTGTAACAGTTAAAAAAAATTAAATTTCAATCAATGGTCAAAAGAATTATCATTTTTTAAAATGTCATATCGGAAAAACATTTTCACAGAATTAAAAAATATTATAACTGGATGAATATAGAATCAATGGTAAACGAAATTTTTGACATAAAATTTGTAAAATGGTACACTGAAATTACATTTCCAGTTGACGAACATGTCAACTATTTTTTTGTTATGTCACGTTTGCTTACCCACTACATAACATTATGTTGTAATGCCTCGTATATATATATATATATATATATATATATATATATATATATATATATATATATATATATATATGTATATATATATATATGTATATACACTTTTCGATTCTTAT